CTAAATAAGACAATTATTTTTAAGATAAGCATATATTCTCAAAATGTAATAACATTTTCAGAAATATTTTTTTTATATAATTTCAAAACTATTTGTTGAGATATAATCTAATGCCTATTAACAAAAAAAAATCTTACCATTTTTAATTATTAATATTATTTTTATTTTTTTTAATGTTTCAAATGACTGCATCGCGATTTTATTCTCAAATTCCAAGGCCAAAAATTTTTTTTGGGAATTTCAATGTTTTAAATCAAGTTTCAATTTAATAGACTGCAGCTAKTTAATCAGTTATAAGTACTTTGTTTAGATGATCGGAGTGAAGTAACCCATGGGTATCTTGCAAAATGTGGTTCTGCATTACTCCAATCATCTAAACTTTAAATACTTGTAACTAATTAAAACTGTATCGCTATGTTTTATTCAAAAATGTTCTTTCATGACTTCTTAAAATAATTTTCAAGAAAATTGTAGTGTTTACCTTTAAAAAAAATAAACTTGTATTATACATATTATACATAGTGTAATTGTATACTATAATACTCGTATAATAGTATAATACATATATATACTAATGTACATAATATACAATAATATGTTTAATATGACCCTTTTAAACTATATGAATAGAATTCTATTCTCCACACATTATATAAAAGTTGTCAAACATTGTCATCAGATTTTTTTTTTTTTATCGAAATCGATCTGTAAATCCCCACGGGATATAAGTTGTGTACAAAACGAACTTACCGGGCACCGATATATTGTATATATACTATACGGAGTGTATAGTATCAACGTACACCTGCGACCTACTCTGAGGTGTCGGCTAAATGTAAATAGAACTGTAGGACAGATAAGCAAAGAAGTATTAAAACACCGGCCTTTCAGGATTTAAAATTTTAATCGCATGAATGAACACGAATAATTATTTAGTTCTCATCCACATAAAGTAACAAAAGTGGCTGTATTATATAATAATCTAAACCCCTGTATTACACCTATCCACGATCCCCACGAAAACTCTATGAATATAATATTATATCAGTGAAAATCAATGGGATTATAAAGTGATTTTTGAAGATGCAACATGAAACTATATAATATAATATGCAATAATATGCTGCTAATTTTCATGTATAACTCTGTTGCAATACCTATCAACATTTATTTTTCTATTCAATTTAATAGTTAAAATTATAAATTCATCAAACAGACAATGATTTTTATAAAGTATGGTAGAAAGATAATGCTAAATAATTGAAATATAGAATCTCGATGGAGGGTTGAAATGTTATTTTCAAAATAGGTGCATTTCTGYATTGATAACTTGGTACGCCATTATATGCCAAACTAAGAGATAACCGAAATAGCCAAATATTTAATAAATAGTTTTAAATATTTTTATCGTTATATTGTACATTTTTAATATTCATCACAATCTCAA